CCATAAACTTCCCGCGCAGCATAAATCCAACATGACATTCAACTCCCTTCTTTCCTGTTACGCCGATGCCGGAGATTTTGACGGGCTCACTGCTGCATTCCAGGAGATCCCAGCCACTTACCCCTCGATTGTTCCCACCGTATACTCTTACAACGTACTCATCCACGCATTGTGCCGGAAGCCCGACGTCTCAGCTGCTCTTGACGCTGTCCATCTCATGGAGAAGATCGGTGTTTCACCTGACATTATTACTTTCAACACGCTGTTGAATGGGTTTTGCAACAATGGCCGCTTGGATGAAGCAGAGACAGTATGGGAGATGATCAAGGAGAGGAATTTGGAGCCTGACGCCAAGTGCTACAATGCCAAGCTGCGGGGTTTGGTTGCAGAAGGGAGGATTGATGATGCAGCTGCTGTGCTGGAGGGATTGGAGAAGGATGGGCCAAAACCCGATACAGTATCCTACAATGAGTTGATTCGAGGATATTGCAAAGCCGGGAAGTTACAGGAGGCCAAGAAGCTGTATGATGATTTGGTAAAAAATGAGTGTGCCCCAAATAAGGGAACATATGAGACTCTTCTGCCACACCTTCTGCAGGCTGGGGAGCTGGATTGTGCACTGACGTACTGTTATAAAATCTTTAGTCATAAAAGGAACCTTAGAGTGGAGTGTGGTGTGCTGCAGGATGTAGTGAATGCATTGGTAGATGTATTGAGGGTGGAGGAGGCTGCCAAGATTATTGTGCTGGGGCGGAAGAAGTACTACCCCCGAAAGGGTTTGAGGATGCCTGATAGTACAAAAAGGCAGTGAATTAAGAGCTGAAACTGATGAGGAAGAAGCAATATCAGAAGAAGAGTGTGAAGTGGAGCACGAGACTGAAAAATAAATTCATAGGTCAGACTTTTACTGATGCATGCCAAATTTCACCATGGCCTGTTTTACTCTGTTCCTCTGTTGGCATGATACAACAAAAAGTGCAAGTTAAAGTAGTGGTTAAACTAGTTTAATAAGGTATTGGTTAAGCTTGCCCTGAGCTGTGATGCTTATTGAAAATCTTTCTATTCGTTTTAGAAGAGATCCACAGAAGTCTTTATTCTTATCTGCAATGACTTGCTTGTGCTGATTTTCCTCGTTGCATCCATTTATTTGTATGGATCTAATATTTGTGTCTGGAAACATCCTCCAAAAGTATTGTACTTTATGGATACTTTTATTTTCTGGACATTGCTGATTCAACTGTTAGCTCTGCGATGAAGACAATCACATATCTCCCAGTTTTTTGATTCTTATTGTTTATTTTAGTATTTCTCTTTGAAGCATGGAAAATGCAAATGTTATGGCATATATGAAGTTAGAAGGCCTTTGATCAATGATCAGCTTCAATAGTTCTAGTTTGTTAGGTTACTAGATTGCCAAACTAGAGGTGAATAGTTGTAGCTCCATTCCAGAATGGATTCGTTGCATCGTCAAGCACTCCCCTCCGATCCATACTAGTTGTCGCCGAAATGGATGTATCTAGACGTTTTCATTGCTAGATACATCTGTTTGGGCGACGACTATTATGGATCGGAAGGAGTACTATTCTCATTTGCTGTAGTGAGCCTTGTCTTTCTCCTTTTATGAACTGATCTTCATATTTTATCATATAACAAGCTAGTAGAGTTGTAAAGCAAACAAGAACTTTGTGAATTAGGATAGTAGGTGAACTAGTGATTTCTCACAATTCAGATTCTTGCTTCATAAGAAGATGGTAGGAGCGGACCTCCTTCAATTACGAGGCAGTAGAGTTGTAAACCAAACAAGGAAGAACTGTATGAATTACAATAGTATAGGTGAACTAGTGGTTTCTCACAGTTAAGATTCTTGCTTCCTAAGAAGATGGTAGGAGCCGACCTACTTTAATTGTAATGAAATTGACTTCAGTATGACACCGCTAGGCTTTGAGACTATCCTCAAAATTCTTCGGAGACTTCAAACTATGAAATTAAGTATGTAGTCAACTAAACAATTGTTTTGGGGTTATATCAAAATACACCAGTGTTGTCAAATGTTAGGACTAGAATCATGTACTCCCTCTGTAAAGAAATATAAGACCTTTTAGATCACTACTTGATCTAAAAGGTCTTATATTTCTTTACAGAGGGACTGTGAAGTACTGTAAGTATTACCTGTACAACTCCGCCAGTGTTACTCTTTGTGCATTTCTTTTAATTAGAGGTATTGAGCCACCCCAGGTTTAAGCCTTGGTGGGTTGACCGATTGATGCCACGCCTTATTGACCGACCAGTGCTCGTTGCTGTGCTGTCCATTTGCTCATGTCAAGCTTAGGATATCTGGCAGCAGATTGTTACTTTCTGTGTGCTGTTCAGGTGGATGATCATTGTTATCTGCAAACTAGTATTTGGCAGTGGCACCTCTCTTTCTGTACGAGCAATGGGTGTATTTCCACAATTCCTCTGATCCCTAATGAGGCGTATCATTGTCCCCTGACACTCCTGGAGTACATGCTATTTTCATTTTTCAATTTTGTCATCTGGCCTTATCAACCATGGAAGACACTATGAGAACATATCAGCCACCTTGTTATTCAGGCCACCCGCGGGTCAGTTTCCTAGCTTTGCTGCTTACTGAAGCTATGATAAACATTTTGTCTTGAGGCCATTTGTAGGTAAGAACCATGCGCAAAGCTTGTGTTCTTACAGTTTCTTGTCTTTGGTAGTTAATCGTTTCTGACCTGTCATATATAAACTGTAGTTTGTTCCCTGGTTTATTTTGTGTACTCATTTGCTCCCAAATTCAATGTTGAAACTGATAGCCCGTTGTTTTTGGCGTCTCCCTGCGGTTGAAAACAACCAGGAAGGTGTCACCCGACACCGCTGTTACATTCTCCAACTCACAAGAGCCTTTTTTCTTCCCATGTTGGCGGTGCGGTGATGATGGCGTTCTGGTCCGTTGATTTATTTGTCTTTTTTCCTTCAAAAAAAAAGGGTTCTCCCCCCGGACAATTTTCATTTCTGAAAACTGATAAGACGGTTTATTTGTCATATGGTATTTTTTTTCTAGATAAACCGCCATCTGGTAGTTTTCTTTAGATAAACTGTCGTCTGGTAGGTTGATTGCATATCTGCATGCAGTAACCCTTGGGATTTCTCTTGCTTAGTGCAGTGCTGAATAGCTCCACTCAGGGGCGAAGCTACGTATAGCTACCCGGTGTCACTGGCACCGGGTGCAATTTGCATGCACTTATTGGCTTAGTGTGTAGGCCATTCAATTGTTTGATATGTAGGCATGTGTTCTTCTATATGGACACCGGGTAATTTTAAGTCTGGATCCGCCCCTGGCTCCACTGCTGTTCTGGCCTGCCCCTTGATGAACATCTGAGGGATGCAGTGACAGCTGGTAGTGCAGGCTGCAGAGCGCTGATGCCAGCCATCAAGTCCAGGCTCTGCACTTGGGTCTTGCCCGGAACCATATGCCGCCACGACACATAACCGCAAAACGTCCTGATCACACAACACAACCCTAGCATAACAACCAGCAAGGTTTCGCTCACGGTGCGTTCCGAATCAGTCAATGCTCATGCGGTTAGGCAGGGCGAAGAATCGAGTAAACAAAGATGGCCAGGCCGGCTATATAACCCCAGAAATTTGTCAAGCTGCGCCAAACCAGACGGGGACATCGACGTCGACGTGATTAGCGCGCGACGCGGAGAGGGATGGCGCAGGTCAGAGAAACACACGGAACCGTAGGCGGGCGTCTGTGCGTGCGTGCAGTCAATGCGCATGAATGCCAGTTCATGGTCAAAGGAAGGAACAGAGATTAGTGGCATGCCAAAAAGTTAGCGCCTCTCCAAGACACGGCACTCCGTGGAACGGTGTGATGGTATGGTCTGAAGATCCTGTCTCGATTAAACTGTAGTGACACAGCCCGTGAGATCTTCGTCAGGGTCTTTGGGAAAGGAGTAACCGATATGGCTTGGCAAGTGCCAAGTGAGCCTCTTCTTCACACATGACTTTTTCACTAACTTTTCAGATGAGCACGGGCCAATGGCCGACGAACTTTCTCGGGTTTTAGCAAACCGACGGCAAACTTTCTCGGGTTTCTCGTACTACAGGGCGCTGCTGCAACCTGGCTGGTCCATCGTATGATCGTATCACTCTCTGATCTGCACTGTATCCACAGACACATCAACAGAAAAGAGCATTGATGGTCGGCTCAGATGGCTGGTAGCGATCTAGCCGCAGCCAAGGACGTGCCATCGATAAGATTTGCTCAGTGGTATTCGCAGCACAATTTTGAAAGCGGGGTCAGTGGCTGGCTATCCATGAATGAGAGTGAGAGCCGCCGAAGGAATTTTTGAAACAAGCAATGGAGCCCCTACGACGATGCAAAAAGTCAGAGCACATTCAATGCAGAGCCCCAGAGCAGGATTTGAAAATACATGCATGCATGGAATCGAATCTATTCCAAGACGACCACGGAGAAGTCAGACAAACATTTGAAAAATACAACTCTACGCCCTCTGTCTGCTTTAGGCGGGCTAGTATATACGGAGTACAACTGCACTTGCACAAACCAGGGAGGTGCATTGACCCTACTCCTACAAACATAGGCACTTTTTACCTCTCTTGAATGATTCTTGATGCTCCGCTACGGTAAATTTTGTTCAGGTGTCCATGCGACGAGGGTACACAACGCAAGTAGCCAGATGAGCACGCACGTAGTACCAACAGCCATCGTTGGTTCCCGTCCATGTCGTCTAGCAAATTAGCACTGCGTGCGTCGTGACCACCCGGAAAGGAAAACGGCGAAGCGATCTGCTCCTACACGTGAAGGCATTCACGTACATTCACAGGAATATGGACAAAATGCATCTGGCCAATACTACTAGCAGGCAGCCGCACCGCGTCATGGCCCGTGCAAACGTTAACAGAGTGGCAGGCAACCGAGAGAGAAAAAGAATGGTTAATTTGAGGAGTAGTGCTCGGTTAGCGCGGGATCAAGGCTTGCAGATGACCACGAAGCACGGCAGCAGCGCCCTCGGGTTCAGCAGGTAGAGCTCCTCGATGTTGGCGTAGGGCCCGACCTTGCCGGCCAGCGAGTCGAACCCGGTCTGCCCCACGAACTCCCTCACGTTCTCCAGCGGCTTGTGCACCCGCCCGGCGATCACCCTGCACACCAGCAGCGCCCTGCGCGCACCGCCGGCCGCGGCCGCCGGGTCGTCTTCCTCGTCGGCGGCCTCGAACGCCCGGCCGCTGGTGGACGTGGTGAAGACGCCGACGCTGGCCTTGCCGTCCTTCTTGGCGTTGGGCGAGGAGGAGGAGGAGAAGCCGTGGCGGATGATGCGGCAGACGGCGCACTTGTCGGAGGCGCAGAGGCTGCTGGCGCCGGCGGAGCCGAGCGCGCAGCAGAGCGTGGCGCCGTGGAAGCGCAGCAGCTCGTTGCCGTCGGCGAGGCAGCGCGGGTGCTTCTTGGCCAGCTTGTTCGCCTTGAGCTTCACCGCCTCCCGGTACTCCTCGAAGCGGGCCAGCGTCCGCTGCGTGTTGTGCACCTTGAACACGCGCTCGATCCGCACGCAGCTGCTCTCCGACTTGAGCAGGCTCGTCCGGCAGATGATCTCCACGATCTTCCGCGACGAGTCCCCCTCCACCAGCTCCGTCACTGACAGACACCCACCATCATCATTAAAGTAAAACACCATTAGATACACTGCCACTAGTCAAACATTATAGCCTACTAGGTGAACACCATCAGACCTACTTACTGCTGCACTGTAAATGTTTCATGGGCGCCATACATCATAATGGAGGGCAGAAAAAGTGATTGTAGGCTACAGGAGGGGATGAAAGATTTCGCAGAATCTCAACCCACATGGCCGCAGTTATTGTGATTTGTGGAGATCGAAATCCAAAGCATGGATTCGCGCCAAGAGCAAAAAAACAGACAGTATCTGGAGAAACCTAGTGGTGAAACTGTGAACGTGAAAACTGAAACCTATGCCAGCTAAAAGCCATGTAACTTTGGAGCTAGAGAAATGGTAGTACTAGTAATTGAAGTGGCACTATCCTGTGTCCACAAGTGTATATTGACTGCAAAAGGTGGTGTATGTTTTTAACCGGCTGCTGAAATGCGAAAAGGACGGGAGTAACATTCCGGTACCCTGAAGATCTACCAACCGGGTGTCCGGGTCGATCTGAACCAGTACCACTAGCACCAACAAAAGCAATGCAGTGCAGATGTCATCCTCACCTGCATGTTTGGATAGGTGGTGCGCCTCCAGCGCCTCCCATTTGCCGAACTGCTCCGTGCACCTGTGGCAGCTGAGGCCGCCGGAGCCCTTGCCGCCGGCCTTGGCGGCGTCGACCTCGCAGGACGCGCGGTGGGCCGTGGCCGCGGCGGCGCCGTCCCTGTCCAGCAGCGGGTTCGGCGACCTCGGCGGCGTGCACCGCATGCTGCCCGCCCGGCACGAGCCGCTGTACTGCAGGCCGTGGCTCCAGCCGGGCCCCGGCGTGCCGGGGCGGAGCGTGCCCACGAAGGACGACACGACGCCGCCGTCGCCGCCCTCCGCCTCGTGCGCGGGCGCTCCTCCCCCCGCCGCCCCGAGGCCGCCGCAGCCGCCGAAGCCGGTGATCTTGAGCTCGCAGCGGGAGTTGGTGCTGAGCACCACCTCGTGGGCGATGGGGTTGAGGAACTCGCTGCTGCCGATGGACCGCGGGCTGCAGCTGGGCGGCTGGCCTGGGTGGCGCTTGCTCCCGTGGATGACGTCCCGCAGGTTGGCTATGGAGCGAGAGCACCCGGACCGAGCCGCGCGCTTGGTCACGATGGACGACAGGTGCCCGCCGGCGCCAGCGCTGCCAGCGCTGGAGCTGCTAGCCTTGGGCTTGGGCACGTGCACCTCCGACGACTGGGACCGGCACTGCAGCGACTTCTTGAGCGCGAACCACACCGTCGGCGCCGCCGCAGGTGCCGGTGCCGGTGCCGCGGCCTTCTCCTCGCCCCGGCCGTCCCCGCCGACGACGGCGCTCATGCGCCTCCTCCTCTCGCCCATCTCCTGCGCGCGGACGCGGTGGTAGCTGGGGCGTGAATGCGCGCGTCGTCGGTGAGTCACCGCGGAGCGCGCATTACTTATGGCAGGCGCAGGCTGGGGCGCCGCAGCAGGAGCACCCGAGCGAGAGATAGCGAGCGAGGGAGGGCAGGCGGGCAGAGGCAATTAAACCACCATGGGGTTGGGCGGCAGTAAAGGCGCGCCACCAAACGAACTGCAGAGCTGCTCTCTCTGGTCCGCTGTGCGTGGCTCGCTAGGTTGCCGAGACACTCTGAGGAATGGTGCAGCGGTAACGCGGTGGCCGGGAGCGCGCCTGTGGTCTATGGACACGAGACGCTCGGAAGATTGGTATCGGGGAGATGGGGACCGAGCGGGGTGAGGTCTTTGCGAGTAGGAACAAATGTTGAATTGTAAATGGGGACGGGGGCGGCGGGTACAGGTGGGCGCTCAAGACAAGGGGCGCCCATAATTATACGAGCAACAAAAAGGAACAACCCGAGGCCGTGATGCCGGGGCGCACGGCACGGGCGCGTGTGTTTTATGTGAGTATGCATGCGTACCATCTTCTAGCCATAGCCAACTGCTATACCCACCGTCATCCAGACCATATCGCTAGATTGTCACCCGGACCAAATTTTGTTGACTCACACGACATATCGCTAGATTGTCAGCCAGACCGGTTAAATCTACCATCTCCCAACTGCTACATCCATTAGCCATAGGTGTTTGATCCTTCACACGTTCCCAAGAGCACCACATACATCGTGTAGCTTGGAGGAAGCCTGCAAAAATATTTTCAAGTTTCGTTCATAGTCATAGCGCCAATCTCACATTGTCCACTGTAGGGCACACACACTCCCATCTGGATATGTGCCTTCAATTTTGAGGCGGTGTTTGGTTTAGAGACTTTTTAGTCTCAGAGACTAGAAAAAGTCCCTAAAAAGTCCCTAGGAACCAAACGAGAGGGATTTTTTCTACAGGGACTAGAAAAAGACTCTACGGGCGAGTCTTTTTTGATTAGTCCCTGGGACTAGAAAAAGTCTTAGGACTTCTAAACCAAACACCCATGAATGAACCTGGCCAACCTATTCCCGAATAAATTCGTCATGTTGATGGGTGGGGCAGATTAGAAGCTACAGGGTGGCAAAAGAACACGAGAGAAAAATGTGTTGATTTGTCTCCTCTTAGTCATTAAAAAAAGTACATATTTCTTAAATCATGTCATCCATGTTTTGTCAGAATATTCTTCGTTAAAAATAAACCCTCCATAAAGAAATAACATGAATATCTTAATTTTTAGTGGAATGTTTGCAAATGTGTTGTCACCAAAATACTAGTCTAGTATTGATAGTATCCTAGTACATGGATTTGACCCAAAAAAACACCCGAGAGGAAGTCAAATGCCAATGGAAGACGCTATATTCACGTGAAAGGTTTATCTCCGCTGCTTGGGGAGTTGTTGGCGCCTGTGGCTCCCGATCCAACCTCCTCGAAGCTTAGCCAAGTGTCAACGGAGGTGCTGGGTGGTGTGGCCACCTTGGACTTGGGTCTTGCGGAGGCTCGTGCTAGTTTCTATGATGAGAATCTTCCCGTCTTGCTTATGCCTGGACCCATCAGGTTGGTGATGCTTATGGTTGAGGAGGTTGATGCGGCCACTATCTTGATGCCTGCTAGTGGGAGTTGCTTGGCTGATGAGAACTACACCAAACACTACAAAAACTTCTACAATTTGTTTGCCAAATGTCTGACTAATCACCATGCATCCGGCAAGACTGTTGGTGGCCTCATGAAGGAGAAACTAGAGAAGAACATTGTGGATGATGAGGTTGATAAAGCAAGTGTGTCGACAGCTAATTCCGAGGCTCTCTTCGTGAAAGAGCTCTATGACTTGCTTGCTAGTTTGGAAGGGGCTAGCCCTGGATCTAGCAAGGCGATTGCTTGCATCCCGACGTACAAGGCTACAACGGGCAAAATTGATAAGGTGCAAAAGGCTCTCAAGAGCATAGGCAAGAAGTGTGGCATCGTAGGAAAGGCATCCCCCGTTGCTTAAATGGATGATCTCCAATGTCTTGGACCATTCCCATGGTGGTGTCCATTATCTTTAGTTAGGATCTTCCCGTTGGGTGTTCCATTGTGTTCTAGAAGTGTGAGGGGTTGTTGTTGCATGTTGGTTATGCCTATTGGATTGACCATGCGGTTGTAGTGTTCCATACTTTGTGAGTAGTTCACATGTGGTGTGTTTGTATTGGTTTTTGCCCGGTTTCCTGTAATTAACTAGACAATTGTCTTCTTTTAATTAATCGATGAGGCAAAAAGTTTGCCTCCATTAAAAAAACATGCCAAATAAAGGAATATCACTACAAAAACACAACTACAAATCTATAACTCAGCATAACACAATCAGCCTAGATATCATCAAATAACAAGGCAGGATGATGAGGATATGAATCTTGAGTACAACCAACTGGCAAGACGTTGGCCATGTGATTTCTGAGCAAGCCGATTCAAAGACTTCTGCTTAGGATCCAGGCAGAAGTTGCATCGCCTTCGGAGGCAAGACAACGTCAACCTGCAGGCACACAACATGGTCCAGTTCGATCGAGTCACATGAGCCCACCTATTGTTCGACATAGACCGAGTAACCGTAGCTCGGCTAGGTCTATAGGGCGAGCTAGGGCCTTCTCGGAGGGATCCATCTCATACTAAAGCCATCTAGGGCTAGGGTTTCTACCTAAACCTCCCTCTTCCACCTTTGCAGCTATCACAAATCATACCTTGTAATCTAAGACACGGCTTTAGGGATCCTCCCAATCTCTACTCGGCACTCGATCAATACAATCCAAAGCAAGCAAGAGTACGGTTGTTACCTCTCCAGAGATGGCACATACCTGGGTAGTGTCTCATGTGCAACCATCTCGATTCACTACACACCCCCATCCTCTCCAAAATAAGTCAATTGTTGCTCAATGACACTGCCTAATCAAAACTCTGACACTAAACGATACTCAACTAAAGGACCAAGAGAGCACATCCCCTTCCTCTATCTGGGAGGGATAGGAGCACACAACTCATCTAGAAAAAGAAGAGCATTTGCCCATGTTGGAATCAGGAAATGTCAGACTCGGAGGGGAAAATTAGTAGTGTCGGTGCTATTTTCATCGTCTAGCCTGAGCAACTGTTATACCAAGGCTGGATACGCTCCTAACCATTTTGTGGTGAGACATGTCGAGAATATGGGGCTTGCGTACAAGACTCGTGCATTCAGGTCCAAATTACTAACTGAAAGGATCGAGAAGAGGTGTCTAGAGGGGGGTGATTAGACACTAAGTACCAAAAGTTGCAGTTTTTAACTTCTTTAAGTTGGAGTGGAGTTTAGGCACAAGTTTAACACTCACAATACATAACAAGCAAGTATGCAAAGAGTATATGAGCAGAAGAAAGTAAAGCATGCAACTTACAAGAATGTAAAGGGAAGGGATTGGAGGATTCAAACGCAATTGGAGACACGGATGTTTTTGTCATGGTTCTGATAGGTGGTGCTATCGTACATCCACGTTGATGGAGAACTTAACCCATGAAGGGTAACGGCTGCGTGAGTCCACGGAGGGCTCCACCCACGAAGGGTCCACGAAGAAGCAACCTTGTCTATCCCACCATGGTCATCGCCCACGAAGGACTTGCCTCACTAGCGGTAGATCTTCACAAAGTAGGCGATCTCCTTGCCCTTACAAACTCCTTGGTTCAACTCCACAATATTGTCGGAGGCTCCCAAGTGACACCTAGCCAATCTAGGAGACACCACTCTCCAAGAAGTAACAAATGGTGTGTTGATGATGAACTCCTTGCTCTTGTGCTTCAAATGATAGTCTCCCCAACACTCAACTCTCTCCCACAGGATTTGGATTTGGTGGAAAGAAGATTTGAGTGGAAAACAACTTGGGGAAGGCTAGAGATCAAGATTCATATGGTAGGAATGGAATATCTTGGCCTCAACACATGAGTAGGTGGTTCTCTCTCAGAAAATGTATGCTGGAAGTGTAGGTTCGTTCTGATGGCTCTCTCCACGAATGAAGAGGAGGTGGAGGGGTATATATAGCCTCCACACAAAATCTAACCGTTACACACAATTTACCAATCTCGGTGAGACCGAACCAACAAACTCGGTTGGACCGATTTAGTAAACCTAGTGACCGTTAGGGTTTTCGGTGGGACCGACATGCAACTCGGTAGGACCGATATGGTTAGGGTTAGGGCATAACGTAATCTCGATGAGACCGATTACACAAACTCGGTGGGACCGATGTTGGTAATAATCTAACCAGAGAGTTGGTCAGGCAAACTCGGTGAGACCGATTACACAAACTCGGTAGGACCGATTTTGGTAATAAGCTAACCAGAGAGTTTGCATTGTAATCTCGGTAGTACCGATTGCTCAAACTCGGTGGGACCGATTTTGGTAATGGACATACACAGAGAGATTACAATCCCATCTCGATGAGACCGAGATCCCTATCGGTGAGACTGATTTTCCTAGGGTTTGTGGCAGTGACTATGACATCTGAACTCGGTGGCGCCGGATAGAAAGAATCGGTGGGGCTGAGTTAGAATTTTGATTTAGGACATATGTGGATGTGAGAAAGTAGTTGAGGGCTTTGGGGGCATATCACTAAGCACTTTTAGCAAGCAAGCAATTAAGCAACACCTCATCCCCTCTTGATAGTATTGGCTTTTCCTATAGACTCAATGTGATCTTGGATCACTAAAATGGAAAATGTAGAGTCTTGAGCTTGGAGCTTGAGCCAATCCTTTGTCCTTAGCATCTAGAAGGGATTCCACATCCTTTAGTCCATGCCACTCCATTGTTGAACTTGTCTAAAATATACTAGGTAAAAGTGTTAGTCCAACAAGAGATATGTTGACATTAATTACCAAAACCACCTAGGGAGCACTTGTGCTTTCAATCTCCCCCTTTTTGGTAATTGATGACAACATACATCAAAGCT